ATCAGAACGGGAGACCCAGTTTTTCTCGCGACTCGCGAGTCGTGTCGCGACTCGCGACTAGAGTCGCGACTCGCGAGTTGGTCGCGACTCGCGATATTTTCAGAGGCCCAACAGCTTTTTCGAGACACGAGTCGCGACTCGCGAGTCAATGTCGCGACTCGCGAGACACGTCGCGACTCGCGAGATAGGTCGCGAGTTTCCCCAAAATTTAAAAACTTTTCGAAGACGCGCGAGTCGCGAGATGTCGCGACTCGCGACTCGGCAAAAATATAAGTCGCGACTCGCGACTTAAGTCGCGACTCGCGAGTTGGCCGGCGCGAATTTCGATGTCGGGATTTTAACATCAGAATTTCGACCTAGACATTATTATTCACATTCCAGACTTCGTTTTTTTGGTTTATTCTCTCTGGAAACTCATTCCTTTTCATACTTTTGCTCTTTGGATTGAATTTTGGAGATTAAAACTCTACTTCTTGCTTGGATTTGGATTGTTCTGTGGATTTGACATTGAGATTCGTTATTAATCGTAAGTTTTTCTTTTCTCAATTGTGTGATTGATGATGATGGCTTGGGTTTGTATGAATTTTGATGTTGAATTCCACATGAGTAGCTAAATCTATACGCTAGGGATAGGGGATGATTGATTAGGTTCGATTATAATTGCTTGTTCTTAATTGTTCATATCTATGCAAGTTGTTCTTAATCTAGGGTAGTAGATTGATCACCTTTCTAACCTAATTAATCAACGTGTAGAACCGAGAGGGGAGACGTTGGTCGATATAGGCTTGTTTAGAGTAGACTTGTTCGTAATAATATTGTCTATGGGTTGTTGGAATTGATAGTTGATTGTGTACGTTCACTCTCTTGTTACGAAGAGTTATTGAGAGTGAGCCTCTGGACGAGAAACGATTCAAGTCCCTTAACCGAGCAATTGATTGCCGGTAGTTATGTTAGAACCGAAAGCAATTATCCTCGATTCCCTAGCACTTTAATCATTCGAGGTTATTCACTTGCTGTTTAATTTGTTTGCTTTAGTTTTAAATCTTTAGCTGATAATTAAAACCCCCAAAATTATTGAATAGAGTGTTTAGGAATTTTTCTTTTTGTTCTCGTGATCGAATAATCGTACAATTGAATCCGGCTAACCTTCCTTGCGATACGACCCGGGGAACGAATCTTTCGATTCTACTCTGGTAAAATTATACACAACACATATCGTAAAACCGAGCACCACACCACGCGTACCAACGACCGCCGAGAGCTTTCACGCATTCCCGAGCAGCAGCAAGCCAAAAATCAAAGCCTACGTGAAACCACCATACCAAGGCCTTCCCCGAACCGCTTTTGCTTCCTTCTTCTTTAAGCTCTTTTTGTAAGGTATATTTGATGAGCCTTATAATCCTTTTATTGTGGTTGAATTGATGTTTAAGAATCAGTTTTTAAGTAATAAAATGGGCATGCTTAACTTTGTGATAAATGAGAAAGAACTGAGTGTATCTATGTGCTTATTTGGCCGATTTTGATATGTGATTGTTTATGTTGAGATGTGATTAAATTGCTGAAAAATGCTTAGTGTAGAGTTTCAAATTCAATAATATGGCATTGGAATTTCGTTTGAGCACAAGAAAAGAAAAAGTTGAATAAGACATGTTATGTTATGAACTTGATTTCATTTTGGTGTGATTTATTTATGAAGTTACTGTACATGGTACCATGGGTTTATTGATCCTCTTCTAAGTCTAATTTCAGCTATTAATAATCTTCAGTTGGGTGGTTAATGATAGACGAACAGAAAAGTTATTTGTACTTATAATAAGTTCATGTGTTTGTGCATTAAATTTTCGTGACTTATTTGTGCATTGCGTTGCTGTGTTATTCATATCTATATATTTTTTAGGTTCGTTTTTTTTATATATTTTACATGTTGTGATTATGTACATTACAGAGTATAAAAAATCAGTTCTTGAGGTCTTGTTTATTTTGTTGTAGCATAAGAAAAGGAAAAGAGAGAGAGAGAGAGAGAGAGAGAGAGAGAGAGAGAGAGAGAGTTTAGTGCTACAACATTTTTTTAATCTTGGGTTGAATATCTCTCTATTACATATACGCAAAAGCATGGGTAGTTATATGCTTGACACGTGTACTATTTTTTCAGACGAAAATACCCCTTTGTTGCTGCTTTTTTACGTCTTGACCGGTGCAGTGTTTTTAGTTTATCTCTTGGCTGCTTTATCTCACAATCCATCATTCTCATTTGTTCACCCACCAAACCCTACCAGTCGCCATTCTTTTTTGCGTGTTCCTTCATTTCAGGCTTTCAGCATATTTCTTTTCGTTCGGATATCGCGCAGAGAATCTGCTTCAAGCTTTCTTTTACTTTTTCTTCTTTCCCAAAAATCACCCGCTCTTCTTTGTTTCCTTTTCTTCTTTCCGCCATTATTGTATAGATACCAATTCTCTTTCATCTTCTCTTCAACCTCCTCTGCGCCCCATGAGTCGGCTGCCCGTGGCCACCGCGTAGGATTATCAAATTCTGGCGATATCGAGACCCTGAGCTCACAAAAATACGTGTAAACCCAGCGAACTTGGCACTAGGTTAAGGTATAATTGCTGTTTGGTGCATTAAGTATTGATTACTGAAACTAGAATTAAAAATTGCATTTGTTTAGTTGCCCTCTGAGTTTGTAACCATAATTAAATTGTTAATGTGGCATTTTTGAAATATTTCTACCTTCTTTTCCTATTTTTTGGACCTGCCTAACCCGCCAAGAGTCCCCACTCGGCATGTTTTGATGGCTCTAGATATAATAGTTCATTGGCTCTCAAACTAATTCAACCAGTACTCTTAACAGAGGCTACCTTATCAGCCGCCTTACTATTTGCACATTTGAACTGGCCAATAACTTTTCTCGGCTCCTAAAGGTTGAAGTTTGACTGGTAAGAGGTTACCAATGGAAGCTGAGGTGGTACTTGCCTCATCTCCGACAGACAATGGTATTGGGTGTTGGGACCTCCACACTGGTGCTGAGATTCTCTGCCACAGGTCGCCAGCCCTTCTCACAGCCTCATCTGTGTCGCCGGCCATTTCATCACCTCTTCCCTCCTCCGAGATGGCAAGTATTCTTCTGGATCAATTTTCTGTTGGTCTTGGAACAAGGTAAATATTTATTTAAAATTAAGTTGCCCCCACAATAGTTAATTTACTGCGTCTAGGTTTTATTCGATGGTGATGTTTATTTTTGTTTTGGATGATAGATTTTGAACGTGGCTTTCTGATTTGGGAAAGATAAAGCAATAATCAGTTTAGTTTGTTTTACATTTTGTAGCCTCAGATTGAAGTGAGGAGCTTTTCAGCAGAACTTATAAAGCCTCTTGTTTCCAACAGTCAGGGAACTTATATTGCTGGAGGAGGTGTTTCAGGGGATGTATACTTTTGGGAGGTAGATTATTTATTTAAAAATATATCTCATTTTCTTAGTCCTTAAACGTTTCTCATGATTGTTGTCATTCGTTTCACTGTGTGATTGCAGGTTGCAACTGGGAAATTGCTAAAAAAATGGCATGCACATTACAGAGCTGTTAGCTGCTTGGTATTTAATGATGATCAGTCACTTTTGATATCAGGGTCGGAGGATGGATGTGTTCGTGTCTGGTCACTTTTCCTATATGATTCCTACTGTATTTACTTATGAAGGTGAATGGTAAATGAGTTCTTAATTTAATGATTTTGGATATTGTCACTTTTAATGATTTTTGGATTTTTTAACACGTCGAGCTCCAGAGGCTACCAGACTCTGGCCACACCATCGCCAGGCCCGACGGCGTCTTCATCAATGGGTTGGGCAGGCCACCATCTTACCCATGACCCCCGACACCACGGCTCAGAGTCTGTGACTTTGGTTACTCCAAGGTTTTTATATAATTAGAGACGTATGGGCAATTTTTCATACATATTAAGCTAAATTTATAGTATTCTCTTTTTTATACTTTCAGATTTTTAAATTCTACTCTTAAGACCAATTCACTTTTTCTTTATATATAATTTACTCTGTAATTCTGCATCCCTAATCAAAATCTACCGTTAGCACGACAGCCTACATTGCACCGGAAGTTCTATCCCATTCGGAATGTAATGGCAAGGTATGCATGATTTATATATGAAAATTAAGTATTGTGTTTTTTGAGTAATATAATTCATAATTTTTATACTGATTCCTTAGTTGAAGAAAAATTGCCAGATTTATGGTCTTGTCTTGTGGAGTTACTTTATTCGTGATGCTGATGGGAACCTACCCTTTTGAAGATACCCTAAGAATTTCAGAAAAACAATTTCAATAAATTGTTACTCAGTTAGTGCACTACACAAAAAAAATGATCAAATTTATGCATACAATAATGGCTGCTGAGTACAAAATACCAGACTACGTTTACATGTCTCAAGATTGCAGGCTCCTCCTCTCTCTCATATTCACAATAAGAAGCTGGTGGAGATCAAGGGTTCTCGGTCCCATATGGTGTGGAACGTGTACGATTTCCTTGACGTCCACCTCAGCCAGTGCTACTCTGCGCTTGTCACTGCCAATGAGGCACCCAAGGTCTACTGCACCCCACACGTCACTCAACCACCACTTGAGCGCCGATGCCTGTCGTGTCTCCAATATCACATTGTATTCCCTGCCTCCCTTATAAATACTCAAATTCTGACATTATTTGGATTTTCTTTCTCTTTTTTTTTCACAAAATAAAAATGCAATCTTGAAAGTAAAATTTGTTCAAGTGAGAGTTGGAACTCATTTTGTAGTAGGAGTGCTAAATAGCCATTTCACTGTGCTTTAACTATTGCAAAGTGCTTGATCATCTAAGAATATGGGTTTGATGAGATTTGAGAATTATCGAATTTGTTTCGGCATTTAAAGTGAGTGTTCTTGGGATAATGTCTAATATGTTACTGATTTAATTGAACAAATCAGTTGTCTGTTGAGGATACCGCCTAGAATTGTATACATACAAATCGAGGTTTGTATGTTCAATATCGATGTGTATAAATCCGCCTTATGGTAGTGGATTACAAATGTACTAAAGTTCTGCCTATATGTTCATTTCTTTATTTTGTTGTAGCAATTGCACAGTGCTTGAACATATGTCAATATAGTTCTATTGAACTATGAGAATTATCGAATTTATTTTCGGGTGTTTCAAGTGATTGTTAATGGAGAATATATAATATATGTTAGTAAGACTGCCTAATTTTATCAAACAAACCAGTTTCTGTTCACACTACCGCCTAGCGTAGGATACATACAAAACCCATTGAGTTTTTGTACTATTGCTATGATATTAACGGCACCGCTCAAATCTTGATTAAATGCATTGGCGATGTTTGTATTCGAACGTTCAATATTGTTATGTATCAATTGAAGCAAAATAAGCTCCACTAATCAAAGAAAAGCACATCAACTATAGCCTAATCTGTAAATTCCTGCTCTCAAACAACCATAAATGTTTCATTAAACAACAATAGAGTTAAAACATTATCGAGCTCGCCGTTTGTTCGTCATTTGAACTTTTTTGCTCTTCGTTCCTGGAGCTTGGCTGGTTTGATTGAGGTTCTTCAGAAAAAGTAGTGACCAGAAATTGTTGAACTTACATGTGTTTTTCCTTTTGCACGCAATAGTTTATTAAAGTCATTGCTTCTCTGGCGGGGAGAAGAGGCTCTTCCACACCACCTCTGACTTAATCTGCAGATCGAGGTGATGTACTACTGGTTCAAGAAGCAAAAATCCTTGAATCTCGGATCCGAGATAAGGGGATTCACTAGGGTTCTACACTCTGGGAGGATGGATGAGTCGACGTATAAGATCCCCACCTTCGTCTCTTAGCCCCTGCCTAATGGTATGCACCAGGTCCTCATTAATTTTGCCAAAATATAAACTTATTTTCTTCATTTTCATGGTTTTGTTGTTGGATGAATTAGCCAACGATGTGGTGGAATTTTAGTGCATTACACAACACTATTCTCATAAAACAGTCTGCTACAGTTATATTATTGTCTAACATCAATGTTCTTATTATAAGCGGTACGTAGTTCGGGACAAACCATTGGTATTTGTGCAGTGGCTTCGGCAGGAAAAAGACTAAGGATAAAAAGGCATGTTTTATGTTTGTTTTTTTTCCTTTCAATACCTTGTTAATCGCAGCTGAGGTTAACAAAGGTTTTTTCTAGCTCACTTTATATGGTCATTTGATTGTTTGGCCATGGTTATCTAATAAAGGAGAAGTTACTACTATTTTTTCAAATTTTAATTTAGCTAGCATTTTTGTGTTGCATTCACTTCATACTCATGTTGCAAATGAGGAAACCTTTAACAGTTTCCTTAGGGAAATGAGATGGATGCATTCACGATTTTATGTGTCGAACAATTCATTGTTTTATGATGATACACTAATTATATGCTTTTAACTGTGTCAGTCTCAATTCTTATATGTTTTTGTTTCTAAAAGTACAATTTTATGTTTTCTTTTTATTAGGTATGAAGATAAATAAAACGAAGAGCCTTTCAAAACTCACAACAATAACAACAATAACGATTGTTGCGTTTTTGGTTCTCTATTACATCATGAGATGGGTAATTACTTCTCGCTTTATTGCTTTCTCTAACCCAGAAATTTTAGTATTAGGAAAAAATAGGTGATTAGTTTTTCATGCGTATTTGTGTCCCCATGTAACTTTTAGCTTATATGTGTGTCATTTCTCATATTGCATACATGTTCAAATTGCCAAAAATAGAGAATAATAAGAATGATAAGATAGAGAAGTATGAAAAAAACTAAACTTCGACAAAAAAGGAAGATCATAAGGAAAACCAAGAATTTAGTCATGCTAGAACATCATCCTGAACATCATCCTGAACATGATGTGTTACTTTGAATTATACAAATTGGCAACATGTTTCATCATACCAATAATGCTTCAAACGTATAGGTGCCTTGAGAGATTGACTTTTTTTTTTCCATTATGTCTAAAGTGCATGATTTTTGTAAATAACAAAACAAAACTATTTATGAAATATTTTTCCAAAAAATCGTAAGGCTTTTTTGAACTACCTTGAAAGTTTTCATAATATGGAGTGAACTGAAAAGTAGAAACTTAGCAAAGTCAAGTTTGTTAGTATAAAGTTATATTTGATTTTGTTTCTTTTTTCTAATTAGTTTTAGCAGTATTGTGTATTACGTAGAGCAGTAACTTCTTACTAGCTTGTTTAGTGGCTTCCTGGTCCAACTATTTGTTATCATCCGGATCGGTAAACCTGCATCAAGAGGTTCCAAATGACACATTAAAAGGAAGTAGATCATTAAACCGACGTTATTTCAAATACCACCCCGATTCAGGCAACATACCGGACCGAACTACCGAAGACCGAAGTGGTCAACGTCTACCGAGGACAACATGGAACCGAGGTCGTCACCTCCTTAAGCAGGTGACAAGGCGCCTACGAGTGACTCTCCTGCTCCACAAGATCTGTCATCATTTATGTGGGACCCCCTGCCTCAAACCGCCCACAAAAAGTTACTTTATTCGAAAAAGCAATGCACGGATCCCCATGTATCAACCCGAGATTACTATAAATAGCGAACCCATGACATTTGTACGGAGATCTCTCTCCGAACTGAAAAAACTTGATTAAGCAACACGTAAAAGCCCATCACGGCTCTTCACCTCGGTTCACCTCGGACCGGGACCATTGTTGAGTACATCTTACATGCTTTACGTCCAAATCATTCAAAATTATCCACTTAATCACCAATTACATCGTTGTTACAAATCACATAACAACACTATTTTCGTGGTAACGATTTCGACGCTATATTATTAGCTTGTTTCAGTTCTTCAGAATATAGATGTGGATCAAATTGTTTTGGATCATTATCCTCTACCATAAGTAATAATTTAGTTAAACTAATCCACAATGGGTCAAGTTTGTTACATATCTTATTCTCGCTATTGAATTGTGCATCTAACCATTTGATCTGAAGTTTCAACTCAAGGATACTCTAATATGTATGTCAAATGATCTTCTTCTTGACAATGTTGGCGAGATCAATTTAGAGAAGTTTCAGCCCTTCATGAGGAACAGAACTCAACTCAGTTTGCCTTTGTTTCTACTTTACAAGGTAATTGCAATTTGGTTTAGTTTTTGGAAATAGGATATTTTGCAAAAATGAGAATCTGAATGTAGGGTGGTCAGGTCCAAAATGATTAATATGTTTTTCTCATCTTCTCCACCAGTGTATATCATGTGCATATGTGTTGAATTTTTGCTTAATGATTGAGTAAAGAAACCATCCGGGATTTATGATATGTACCTGTTACTGTAGGCAACTGGCAAGGAAGCAGATTCAGTAGCTTGAGAAACATCTCCAAACAACATTAGGCGAACGAGGAGAGAAGTGTGAAAAATGTCTCATTTTTCTACTTCCACAGCAACCCCTATGCCATCTCAAAATGACACCACTTCAGCAATGTCATCTAAGATCGAAGCCCAAATTCTAGATCCCAGTTTCAGGTAAACTTTCAGTCATATGCGTTTACCTTTCTATTGTGTTTTATATCTTTTTATGTTATTTTTCTTGTGGCCTTATGCTTGTTCTCCGTATTGTGGGTTTCATTTTGCTAAGATTTCTCATTATTTTATAATTTAGTGTTATCTTAGACTATTTACTTGGGCGTATTTTTTTTTGGGATCAATGGTTTTTATTTTAATTTCTACATATATGACACAATTATACGTTTAATTGGCACCAAATTAAATTTTTCATTGATTATAGACTGAATTTGGGCCGACTGTGCGTGCACAGCCGGAAGCCAACTAGTTAACACCCATATCAAAGTTGTTGTATGTTCTATTTAGTAATAAAGAGATGCTGTAGGTATTTATTCTTTTATCAATCATGGCTGTCAACATGCATTCTGAGTTTAGGAAATTAATTGAGTTATTGCACTTTGAGTTGTGAGTTTTAGTATACTTTGAAGTGCTACAGGATTTAGAAAAAAAAAAAAAGTTATAAAGTTTATATGATATTTGTAATTGCTTATATTTTGACTGAATTATATGCTCTTATATGATGTTCGTGTTTTTTATGATTTAATTATTTATTTTGCATTTTAATCAAAACTTTCGTGTTTTTCGTGATTTTATAATAAGACTTAATAATAAAAATCCAGATTAAGAGAAGTCGAGCCTTCATTCAGATGCACATGAATTGTCATCCAGTCAGTAAGTTTAAAAAGTGGGGATTTTCCATGCTATGTTCTAATTCTTAATAAATGCAAGGTATTTATAGCCGTGGTATGTTTATGAGTATTTGCCTATGAGTGGGCATTGCCCGCGAGTGGGTACCAAGACAGGATCTCCCACTGTGTGGGTCAGCGTTTCCGGTGGTGAGGTGTACACCTGAGATCGATTTGCCGTGCCGTGTGGGTTAGCGTTCCCGGCCGGTAAACCAACAGATGAGCCATGTTATGAGACCATGATTTCCTTATTTATATGCCAATGTTATCGGTACCTGTTTTTATCATGAATAATTGCATAGTATGGAATATTGATGAGCACGTGGATTATTGCTTAGCCTCCACAATTATCATTTTCAGGTTAGCATGTCGGGCGGGACTCAAGAGGGGCTAGTGGTGGTCATATGCAGTTTACTTATTGCTTCCGCTATTGAACATTTTATTTTCCGAACATGATATTATCAGCTATGTTGAACATTGTTTGGATTCCAGTTTCTGTTTTTCAATTCATTTATCGGACTAGTATCGATCGCTCTGCTTGGTCTTAATGAATTGAACATGTTTATATCGAGATCAGATATCCTGAAATGATTAAAAGCAGTCATGACAGTAAAGCTAGTTACATGTTTAGTAAGTACCCTCAAAGCATGTTTTAAAAGTTAAATTATTTTCGAAAAGTTTGATTCATTTTCAAAAACTCTGATGATTTTAATGTATAAGTAGAGGTTGCTTACAATTTCTTTAATGGCAATAGAACCAATCTCCACAACAACTCAAATAATATCTACAATTATTCATAAAAAGTGTTGATCAAATTTATATATCTATATATAAATAAATACTAAATTAAATAAAATATAAAATTAATCGAAAAAAGAATAAGTTTAAGTTGGTGAAGATACCAAAAAGGGTGGTTCATCAACATTATTGGGATCGTGGAGAGTAACAAAGTTCCTAAAATCAAATCGAAAATATGGAAAATCTCCCTTAAACTTTAAGATTTCAGTCATCCCATGTATGACCATCTTAAATTTGTGAATGGTCGATTGATACAGCCCAATGTTGCTATCGACTTGATAGTTGCGAATTGCGTAGACCTCGCCCTCTTTAATAAAATCTTTGAATTTTGGGATATTGACAGATCGAATATGTCCAGCGATACGATGACCCTACATGTCACATGATAGTAAACGAATCATATATATGTTATAAAATTAAAATACAACATATAATTTAAAATACATAATAAACCATAAAAGATTTATAGTAAATTTGTAAAACTTACATCTTCGTAATGAAAGACGATTTCCAACATGTTCTTGAATTTGGCATCAAATTTGCGTTCAAATACCCTCACAGCCCTTACTTTCAAATAAGGCTTTTCAGTACAGTTCACAGATTTGAGAGCCACCCACACAAGCGGCATTTTCAAACTCTTAATGTAATGTAATAAAAAAATGGAATAAGAATGTGAAACTTGAAAATATGTGTGTTATACGTGGTATAAGTACACCTATTTATATAATTGAAAAGCTATACATAAGACCATTAATTAGGATGATGTTTATCTCCTATTGTATATGGGTGATA